GCCCCAACAGATACAATTATTTAAATTTTAACTTTCAGACTTTCATCGGTCTTTTTTTTAAATCTTGTGAAGCAATAATGTAGTTCTTGCAATACCTTTCGATTGATGTATTACTTGTAGCATCGGACGATCACAGTAGATTTTAATTTCTTCGTGTATATATACAGTAGTCGCCTTCGCACACCCTCTTTGTGCGCTTCGTCACTAGGTAGACTGCCGTCCACAGTGACTTGCAAATTAGCTATTGTTGTTTGGCTATAACTTTTTAATAAATGGTCCGACTTGAATAGTTTTTGGCATATACATGATTATTGATAATAAGAACAAAATCTAATTTACATTTTTTTTGCGAATGCGTGCTAGGTGCAGTTCATTGCGCGGCCGTCTGATACATGCTTAATAGGAAATTTGGGAAATCATTTGGAGAGCATTAGATTCAGCGTTCATTGAAGTTTATGGGCGGTTCGTAAGCGTTAGAGTGTGCGTGGCAACATTTTTTTGGGTCAATCGAGAGGTATTGATGAAAACAATACATTTCAGTTAAAATATTTTATCTAGCATGAAAATTGTGGGCGCCACATGTTTGGTAGGCTTGTGGGCGTTACAGTGGGCGTGGATCTTTTTTTGGATCAATCGATAGGTATTGACGAGACCAATACAATTCAGTTAAAATTTTTTTGTAGCACTTAAACTGTAGGAGCCACAGTTTTTGGCGGCTTGTGGGCGTCAGAGTGGGCGTGGCACACTGACGAATTAAGCTTGCAGGAATCTCTAGAATCTGCATGCCTAATCCTAGTATTGCAACTTTTACAGTTTCCGAGATTACAGCGTTCATACGGACAGACGGAGATGGCTAGATCGACTCGGCTAGTGATCCCGATCAAGAATATAGGGTCGGAAAAGCTTTTTCTATCTGTTACATACTTTTCGACGAATCTAGTACTTTTTAGTACCCTTTTACTCTACGAGTAATGGGTATAAGAACAAATGTCAGAAATATTAAGGTAATGCATTTTAATTAACTACCGCAAGTGTTTACCGAAAACGAAATATAACGGTATTTGATTTATTTTAACATTTATTATCCGATCCTTCCAATGGCAGCTGTATAGTAAAGTCGTCCGATTTTTAAAAAATATTTTTTGTTATTTTGAAATGGTAAAACAATGATATTTTAAGGTTATGTCAAAAAATACCAAAGGTATAATTTTTTTTTAATTTAAAAAAAAAAATTTGAAGAGGGTATAATGATTTGAGTCAGAAGGTTGCAACGCAGTTAAGGACACGTTTCCGACTCCATGAAGTACATGTATACTTGATCAGCATCGAACCGATCAAGTCACGTCCGTCTGTCCGTCCGACGAACACTTCTTAAAAGTTTTATTTCTATTGCAGGTAGTGAATAAGTCGGAACGGGCCGGTTTGAACCATTAATCGGAAATTAATTTTTGGCACATCCAATGGTCAAACTTTCTTGATATTAGATATGTTTGAGACAAAATCAACTCTTAAAATCTTTTCAATCTTCGACCCTTATATATATTATAGAAATTTTCTGTATATTCTTTAATAAGCGCCATGGAGCCAGCTTTTGTCTTCCTAATTGTCAGTTATTATCCAAGTCCCCGGGCAACCGGAAGCAATAACAATACGACCGGGCTCACCTCACCATACGAGTGCATTTGCAACGTGGTCAAGCAGAGATTCAACTATAGCCATACTCAGATGACGGGCTAATCAAAAGCTGCAAAATGAAGTATGAGGTCAACAGCAAAGATAGGAAAAACAAAGGGAGCGCACATGATTGAAGCTTAAAACTTGAGCCACAGCAACTAACCTCATGACATCAGCTTTTTCGGTTTGTAGCTTATTACAAATTCCATATAACCTTCAAAGAGCCGATAGAAAGAAAGAACCAAAAGCATGACGGCATCACGGGAGTAAGGAAAGGACCGAAGAAATCAGAAGCAGAATCAAAAACAAAAAGAAACTGGGGGAGGGGAGAAAAAGGGTCAGAAGGAGACGAAGGCAAATGCCATGTCCTTCAGCAATTGCCCTCAAAATGCAAAGGCAAATGCATAGGTAAAGGCAAAGGCAAAACAGACGGGCGGTCTTTAAGTTTTATGGCACCATTGTGTCAAGATAATAGTATGTACGCCGCTATGTATGTTCGTGACTGCATTTAAGAGCATAGTTGTGTAGAGCTGTATTCACAATCGCACTCGGGGAACACATATACATAAACAAGCATTCCTCTGGCATAACATTTACTCTCTGAATTACTCTAAGCTGCTGCATTTGCCATGATGCGATATGCGAACGAAAGAAGCAATGTGGCATCAAATAGCAACTATTTGCCACCCCTGAGACCGCCCTTACGGTATTATCAATTTAAGTGAATTGTACACGAGTGAGCTATAAATTCGGGCTTCATGACATTTGCTAATGTTTGTCCATGAGAGCAGCGCACTATGGGGAATTTGACCACTTTTTTTTGGCCAAAACCCATTTTTTAATAGTCGTTAAAATAGGTTTTGTTTATCAGAATGCATCAGGATAACATCAATATCAACTAAATTTCTTTTTAAATAACGATTATTTTAAAATTATTTTACAACATCATTTGACTTACTTAACGTTGATATATAGGATTTTAGTATTTTATTTTAATACAAACAATTACAATTTCACTAAAAAAATGTTAGATAAGAACGCCAAAATTTATCATTAAAAATCAGTTTGGTCTTTAAAAAAAATATCAAGAACTTTTTTTATTTGATTAAGAAGAAAAAATTATTTTTTTTTAAAAAGGCGGAACCACACCCATCTTTTTTTAATTTACTTCCTTTAAATTTTATATACTTAATTTTAAAAACAAAACTTTTAAAGGTTGCTTCGTTTTTAAGTTATTAATTAATGCCACAAAAAGTGGGCAAATTCCCCATAGTGCAGCGGCGTTAATTAAATACCATGGCATACTTGCGGGCTGCAAGGTAAATCAGAAATTCAAAATCGCCGAGCTCAAAAAGCCACATAGTTCTGTAATTAAAATGAACGAACGCTTTGGCAATTCTGCGGCCGAGTTTCAATTTTAATTTATATGCACAGCGCTTTGCGAAATTTGGATTCATTAGTGCTATTTACGCAGCGAGTTGAATAAACTCGGTCAATGAAACCGCAGAATTGAGGAACTTCCCTGGGTCAGAAATACAAACAACGTCATAAGTATAAAATACCTGTAAAACTTAAAGAAATAATAAAAAAACAGACTTAAAACACAGATCCATCCTTGCTGCAGATAAAAATTATGACAAGTCACAACACTTTGGCTAAGTTTTCGGAGCTCTTTGCGTCTCAGTATAAAAATTTAAATAAAGTCACACAAGCGTGCGAACAAATAAATACAAATTTATGAAAAGCCCTCGACTCAGTCCTGGTGCCGGTGTCCATTTCTTTCCGCCCAATTTTTGGTTCATTCCAGCGGTGACTGGATGGCCATTTTGCATAATCTCGGTCGCACTCGCTCCTTTTATTTTATATGCAAATGAATAGAAGCCTCTGCTCCCGAATCTGAGATCGGGCAGCGCAATTGGAAGCAAGTCGAGAATGAATCTGATCATGAACTCAGAAATATTTCCCAGATTTAAGGAAACATGGACTAAATTGCCTGAAATTTGAGTTTTATTTATTTATTTATTTATTTATTTCGCCAACAGTTGGTACCTTAACTGGCTACTTGTCTATTACTAAACTAAATACTAAGGGACGAAAGGTAATTGTAAAGGGGTTTCTTAATTAATTCCCTAGGGGAGCATGGGTCCAGCCGCATGTGAGATGGAAGTTTGTTCCAGTATAACAAGGCTCTACACAGAGGCTCATTAAAAGCATAGTTAGCTCTATATGCCGGAATAAAAAAAGGTTCAAATGACCTTAAAGACCTACCAGGTACGGAAAAGCCTATGCTACTCAGCAATGCAGGGCAGTCTATTTTGGAGGACAGCAGGTCACAAATAAAAGCTAGTGCGCTAGTTGTTCTACGATCTTGTAGGGAAGAAAGGTGCACAAGACGACATTTCGCAGAGTAAGAGGGAACCGGGTCATTAAAGTTTAGAGAAAGAAGGGCAAAAGATAGGAATTTTTTTTGAACACGCTCAATACGATTGATGTGTGTAGTTCCTGTCGGACTCCAGACAAACGAAGCATATTCCAATCTGGACCAATCTGGGCCATTGTGGACTTAAAAATAGTAAAAATGGCCTTAAATGATTAATTTAAGACTATACAATTTAAGGAATCAACAGTGGGAAAAATATACCATTACCTTAAAAAAGCACATATCCATAGCCACATTTTCTGAAAATAAAATATTAAAACAAACTTTTTTTCTCTCTCTCTAAAGTGCAGTGTTTTGCAATACGCACATAAATACCTTTACAATAATAATAGTCAACAATTTTCAAAAAAAATACATTTTGTCGTTTCTTTAAAAAAAATTGTTGCTTTAGTATTGCTTTATTTTTTGACTATTTGAATTCAAAATGTGTACCTTTGTATTGTGTAATGTGTGGCTACACACGCCATGGACGGTCTAAAATATAGTCCATAATATGAACATTTTTATCATTCAGATTTTCATCTAAACTTATAAAGGCATTTAGCCACTCGAAAATATAACAAGGGCGTGACCCAGCGGAATTGTGTCAGCCCCCGGTTTTTTTGACCCGGGCTCGAATCCTGAAAATTTTAATGTTCAACATTTTTCATACGTTGGCCTATATACATATTAGACTGTTCATGGCCTTAATCATTATAGACTTAAAATAAGTCTATGATTCCTTATATAAAAGGTTCTAGATCCATATTTTTTCTGGGTGTGGGCATTGCAATTTTAATTTGGCGAGGCAGTTAGTTTACCAAAGGCATACTTATTTCGACGAACTTGTTATTTACCCAGCCATCTCATACTCAGGCTTTCTTTTGCTCTACTATCTGCCTTTCAGCTCATATCGCAGGCCGCAGGCTGAAGTGAGCCCCTCTGAAGACATTACTTTGGAAACGATTCATCATCGGCACCACGCTTCTGACATTGTTCTCGACAGAAGGTGAGGGGGCACACAACATCCACTACAGCAAATTTAATGTAATTTCATGAAAAGGAGAGCGTTAATTTTACCAGCCACACAATACAAAATAGAGTCAGTCAGGGCTACACGTGCCCCGCCGTGGCCTAATGTGCTAACAAGCACTGACATGAAAAATGATAAAGAGCATGCCATTTCTTTTCCGAACACAGCCGACAGAGAAGTAAGACCGAAAGAAAGAAACGGGCGACGAGCTGAAAATTTGTGACGTGTGCGAGGAGCAGGTGGCATCGTAACTCGCAGGACAACGAGGCATTGATAGCTAGGGAAAAAAGCCAAAAAAGCTAGCGCTGCACATCGGATCACCATTTACCAGCACAGCATCGCATCGCACTTACTAGCAACAGAACCCGTTGAGGCATATGTGCGCCGGCGATGAAGGCATTGTGTGGTTGCCGCAACTGAAAGGATTCTGCGCATTCATTCAAAGACCCATTAACCCTAATAAGGAACCAACTAACCAGCTAGACAATACGTTCCGCACGCTCATCGATGAGGCAGTACCTCCTTGGGGCCCAGGACATAGATTGTGGACAGTAGGTCTTGAAAGAGGCCGCAGTAGAAACTGCCACAGGAAGGTAACGGCCCGGCGAATCGAGAAAGGATGCCAATGGTGCTTCCACGGATGGTGCTGCGTCTGCGGCGGCCCCTGAACCTGATGGAAGTGCGAATCCTGCTACTCTGCCTACCGACGCTGCTCCTGGCCACGACGCTCGAGCCAGGTTCGTTCCAATAGTCCAATAGTTAACCACTTTTCCCTCTAGCCTTCAGAATTTAATAAGTTCTCCTTTTTTCGAGAGCGAGGGCTTCATAGGGACTTAGCGAAGTGCTAAGTAAATTAACACAGAATTTATGCGAACTGCCCAGCCAGGTCCAGCTCACTGACACTCCCGATAGCCGGCCTAAGGTATGCCGCAGTTTACTTTTAAATTTACACAAACTAAACAAACGGGGTACAGTCTTTGGGACCACAATTAATGACACTTATAGCGTCTTTCCATAAAGACCCATCCACCACCTACCATCCGTTAAACGGATGCTCCATAAGGTTTTGCCGTTCCGAAAATTTCCCAGTTAGTTCCCCATCCAAATTTGACGGACTCTTTTATGCGATAGTAAGGCGATGTTTGTTCGGTGCAACTCTGAGGTCTTCTTGCCAGTAGAAATTGAAACATTCACTACGAGAACGTAAACAATGATGACAGGGAACAATTAAAAATGAAAGGCGCAGAAACAACAGGCTTGGTTCGACTAGCCAGTTCAGATGTTATCGGATCGTAGATTGTGTATGTGCTTTATGAGAATCAGAGTTTCACATTTGAAAATGGGAGGAGCAGAGGCAACAGGTTTGGTTTGATTAGCGACAGGTCTTCAGATCAGCTGTTATCGGATGGTAGATGGTGGATGAGGATAAGGGCACGACCCTAAAAGTTTCCTGTTAAATTTTCAATGTTAAGATGTCAGCTGTTGTATCAGCTGTTTGTTAGATTTTCAAAATGTCAGGCTGTGTTTACCAAAAATTATGCTTAAAATTAAGGAAATGGCCGAAAATAAGCCAAAAAATTAAACTATTAGAACTGCTAACAGGCAACATCCTATCCGATATCTTTTGTTTGCATATTTTATTTAATTTTTAAAATTTGTTTGTCATGCCTCTTCCCCCATGTTTTCAAGTGACCAGAGTTACCCTCTTACTTTAAGTTAAGAACAGCGACAACTCTGGTTTTCAGCAATTCCACAAAAATTTCAACAGCCCAGAGGCGGTTGAATTGCTGAAATTTTTGATAGTTGACTTTGTATGGAACAGCTGATTAACAGCTGACCAAAATTCAAAGATTCGGCAATTCAACAGTTTAGGGAATACCCTGAATATTTATTTTCTCAATATATACCATAAATAGTATATTTGAAAAACAAAATAGTATATTGTGGTATATTTCTGCGAGCTTATTAGAGTTTTCCACCTTAAGAGCACACTGCAATTCTACAAAATTAAAGAAGGATTAGTGTAAGCGAATACGTTATAAACTCAAAAATTGGCTACATCCCTGCAAGCATTTTCTATCGCGGAAGGCGCTATTAAGTGACTTCTAGAAGATGAAAACGATCGTCCGCGATATCGCATTCGGATCGCGGAAGTGTCTCCCTTCGGGAAGAAATGTGCCACTTCGGCGACACTTCTCGAAGTCAATGTTATTTAGGTCCAGCTCCGTCGACATAAGAAATTTATTAATAACCATTTCTAAAGGAAACAGAAACAAAAATTATTTTTTGTTCAAAGTAAAAATAAACTAGAAGACATTTCCTTTTACAATGAAATATGTTGAGAATCGTTGGATGATGGGTTTCTCCGCAGTTACACGCCAAGTAATGTCCACAGCTAGCTTGTCCGTAAATAGCTTTAAATAATCGTACAGCTCACGATAAGCACGTTATTTCGCACCCTTTGTTGAGGTGGATATTTAAATATGTTAAGCAATCAATAACATTTAGAAAAACAAAGCAATATTTTTAAAACGCATAAAATTGAAACCGCACTGTACACAGACAAATCGCGCAACGAAATGACGCTCGGGCGAAAAATAATAGCGTGGGTCAAAAGGAAGACCAAAAAATTTTCAGAAAAAAAGGGGTAACGAAAAATTACCGCGACCTATTTTATGGCTTGTTTTTTTCCATTAATTTTGTTTTTGTAAAATGGTTACTATCGTCTTTCTATCGCGCAGAAGTGTCTCAGAAGTTACTTCTTCGCGAACCCGACCCTTTTTGTTTTTGTAAAATGTGTACTATCGCCTTTCTATCGTTCAGAAGTGACTTAGAAGTTACTTCTAGCGTTATGTGTATATTTTGTTTTTGTAAAATGTGTTCTATCGCCGTTTTATCGCGCAGAAGTGTCTCAGAAGTTACTTCTTCGCCATCGCGACCCTTTTTGTTTTTGTAAAATGTGTACTATCGTCTTTCTATCGTCCAGAAGTGACTTAAAAGTTACTTCTACGCGACACGTGTATATTTTGTTTTTGTAAAATGTGTACTATCATCTTTCTATCGCGCAGAAGTTACTAAGAAGTGACTCCTGGACGACAGGCGATAGAAATATCGCCATTTTGCTTGCAGGGATCTAATGATATACATTTTATTAGTAGTTCAGTGGTGCTAGCAGTGGCTCGGCATATAAAATGTAGGTATATAAGTACTTCCTATTAAATAGGCACGTATATTCAAAATACATCAATTGTGAAAATGAAATAAATAAGATTATTTTACAAACATATTTAGATGATGGCCAGGAAACCAAGAAAAAGGTATGGCAGAGGTGTGGACTCACTTATTAAGAATCAATAAGTTTTAGGCAAAATGTAAAAAAATGCGGAAAAATGAATGTGACCAGTGGAAATACGTCAAATCTATTTGACCACCTTAAACGGATGCACAAAAACGATGATGACGGGCTTAAAGGCAGCCCGCAGCGAAAATATCAACGTTTTTACTTGATCCATTACCATATGATAGAATGTCCAAACGTAAGCAGGAATTTGCTTGCTATAGACGTACAACACTTTTATATTGCTGAAAACCGGCGCTTTTACGACCTTTTAAACGTTATGGACCAAAATATCGTTTACCGTCCAGAAGTAAATCAACCAATATTTTAGTCCCTGACTTATATAAAGAAAAGATGACAAAAACAAGGAAGAACGCTATAGTCGAGTACCTCGACTATCAGATACCCGTTACTCAGCTAAAGGGACCAAAGGGAAATTGAGATATGCAAGCAGCAAAGCGAGATTAAAATGCGCCACCTACCGGCGGTAGACAGATTTAAGCGGTATGGGCGTTAGAGTGGGCGTATTGGGTATTGACGAGACCAATACATTTCAGTCAAAATTTTTTATCTAGCATGGAAATTGTGGGCGTCACAGGTTTTTGCGGTTTGTGGGCGTTAACGTGGACGTGGCAAACTTTTTTTTGGGTCAATCGATAGGTATTGATGAGAACAATACATTTCAGTTAAAATTTTTATTCTAGCATCAAAACTGTAGGAGCCACAGTTTTGGGCGGTTTGTGGGCGTTAGAGTGGGCGTGGCACTCTACTGAAACAAACTTGCGCTGCGTAAGAAGCTCAGGAATCTGCACGCCAAATCTCAATAGCCTAGCTCTCATAGTTTCCGAGATCTCAGCGTTCATCCGGACAGACAGACGGACAGACGGACATGGCTAGATCGACTCGGCTAGTGATTCTGATCAAGAATATATATACTTTATGGGGTCGGAAACGCTTCCTTCTGCCTGTTACATATTTTCCGACGAATCTAGTATACCCTTTTACTCTACGAGTAACGGGTAAATTAAAAGGCATTTTGGATAAAACTGATTCCGTTTCGATCACAACAGACGGATTGTCCTCAGCCGCTAATAACTACTATGTAACCATAACATCTCATTTTTGATGAATTCTTTCCAAATTTCCAATTTCCAAATTGGAAAAGGAATTCAACCATAACGCCATATGAATTGCCGAAACGGTTCAAAACATTTTAGAGGAATGGAATCTCTTTGATAAAGTTTCCGCCATTGTTACAGATAACGCAGCCAACGTTGTACTTTCATGCACATTTTCAAACAAAACGCATATCCCATGCTTTGCACATTCGCTCAATTTCGTTGTTAATCTAAAAACATTGGAGGGTAAAATTAAATGCAATTTTCTTTTACAAAAAATGTTATCTAATCTGCTACCAGGATATCTACCATATTGCTCTGCAGTAATGCTCAAAGTGCTGTGAGTTAGATCGAAACAAAGCTTGCGGCCTTTGAAAATCTACTTCCCAAACAACTGCAAGCACCACCAATTCTTCCTGAAGGAGAAAGCTCTCCCACTGATCCACTTTTTAAGTTTTTTACAGAACTGCGAAGAAGACTCTGTTGGTCTGCAGACAATGGCGAAGCGATACATGACTATTCCCGCAACGTCTACAGAGTCCAATCGTACCCTTCAGTTCTGAAGTAGGGACGAGGTGACATGGCTCAATGCAAAAAGCTATTTTGTTTTTTTTTTGTGCCCAAATCGCTGTGCCGCTGTTGACGTTAGCAGAGAAGTCGGCGCAGCGTAGAGGACTGCCTACGAAAACGATCATGCAACAAAGAGGTGCAGATATTTGGAGGTTTCCTCTCTTTCTTTGTCTTATAATCTGCCCGCACTCGGCGCTCTCAGAGACAAATTTCGGCCGATCTGTTATTTCTTTTGCGTCTCTCCGTTATGTTCGGCTAGCAACTAATATTTCGGCGGAAAAATTTTCGTGGCGCAGCGACATGTGAATGCCCTAATATTTTGGGAGCATTATTGTAAATCGAAAAAAAAAATTAACATTGTTTTAAAAAAGTAAATTATTTGATTATAGTGAAATTAAGTAAATTAAATTTACTTATAATGTTATGTTTACGTATTATAAATTTTTATTACAATTAAATTTTTTAGTTTAGTTATAGAAATTTAGTCCGTTAAAATGATTTAAATATTTAAATCATTTTAATATTACCATTTCAAAAAATTCGTATTGTATTTCTAACTTAAGAAGTAAAAATTAAAAAGTCGGATATTCTTCGCATTAGAAAGGGTATAGGTGCAGTGGCACGCGCCAACGGCGAAGAGAAAACAAAAGAAATGAAGTAAAGGGGTGAGACGAACTCTTGGTGCATTCTGTTTGAGTGGTTGAAAGAAAGG